GAAAATCTTAACAAAGAAGGCCGCAGAAGCATTCCAAGAACTGTACGAGCTTCGCTTCAACCCGGTACTGTGCGGATATCTTGCGCGACTCTGCAGCGCTACTATCACACTTCACTTCCGTCTTAAGCGGGTAGTTCATAGGGTAGATCTAATTATGCTGTAGAGTTTGCTGCGATACAATTACTAACATACTAATCTCATCAATTCAGCCTGCTATGTAGTTCTATCTTGCCCATTAAAACGGCCTCATCACAGTCGTAAAAGCATTGTACAGATGTTTTCTGACCCAGCTGCACGTCAATCCTTGATTTGCTAAACTAAGCATCGGGATAGTGAATCTCCCGTGGATCACGATATCGGTGTGATAACAAGCCTAGTGCACTGTCGTTCGGAAGTGTCCCGGACTAAATAGTTGTTTGGTCTAACCACGGCTCTTTTAGACCGAATTCGACTATGATAGAAATAGAATAAAGCCCTCAACTTGCATGCCGCAACCCATCCAACGAACACCGAGGGAAAGCACTGTCACTCGGAAATACCCAGAGTTATCCGTAACGAGACGGCTTATACAAACAGTTACACCCGGGTACGTGACGCCAGCCCAAACGAAAACGGCCCGGTGCACTCATTCTATCGTCATCATCATCTGAGACTTCAGTGGCTTATTTGTGCTCCAATCAGTAGCAGTTATAAAAAAACAGCTCACAAAGCAACTAAAAAAAAAAAAAAAAAAAAAAAAAAAAAAAAAAAAAAATAGAACTTAAAGAGAAAAATGAGTTATAGTAAACTACTCTAAATATTTCTTGTTTGTTGTTTCTTGTATCTTTTGGGATTGCTTGGTGAGCTATTAGAGCAGTGAGCTTGGGTGAGCAATTATGTACCTACTTAAGTAGGTATGTGTCTTGTTGCACCCGCGTGTAAAGCCGTCCACCAACCTACCAGATTTGGTAAAGAGAACGCCTGCGGCTCGGCATGACTGGGGTATAGCGGCTAATAGCGGGTCTCACCATCTGCCAAGCATCTATCAAGATCGCTAGACACTACCTAATAGGGAGCTTCCTGCGTGTATGAATTTGCACTATCCACACAGTGTGTTGGTTCGCCATCTATGTTACATCATAGAAATACACACATAACCCAAACTTTACCGCGTCCTTCGAAGCGACAGTGACATTTTGAGAGAGTGAAATAAGCTGACATCCCAGATATCTGCTGTGTGCGGAGAAACCACAGCCTGCATGAGAGAAGATACTACAAGGTTCATATCCAAGTCAGATCCGGGGTTTGCTTTATCAGGTAGGATGAATCCTTCGTTGCGACTCGCACTGGATGAGTCCGGACCACACATCTTGCCTGTCTGAATAAGTCGAATGCGGTGGCGGATTGGTTGTAGGACAATGTTGCATCATCCTAACTCTGCCTGTTTCAGCGCTTGTTCTTGTATGTCAGTTCTTTTTTAAGAAAATTTTTACCGATCGTATCATTATATCTAACAACTTAATCACAAGGAATTATACGCTAAATTTAAGCTGCTTTAGTATGCTTTCTTACTAAAGCTTATAGCAAATTCGCCTACGGTGGTTGATATGGGATGCAAAGGAAACAATGTGGTTGTTTGTCTCATACATTTGAGGTAGCTAGAATTAAAACTCGTCGCTCAGAAAATTTAATTGCTTTAATTTTCTCCTATGAAGTCGAGGGTTCGGGCGGAGATGTATTTACTGTGACGCCTGAATGGTAGTTAAGAAAACTTGTAGTATTGGTGTTCTTATATAATTAGTACGTGTGACAAGTCTTAGAGGTATCTATAGCCAACAAGGAGACGAAAGCTAGACTTAGCGCTGTGTTGGGTTGTCGACGAACGGAACCTGCAGCGAAGTATAGTATGTCTTTCTAGAACTGATGACCATGCTGACACAAGTGCTGCATGTTGATCAAAGCTGTCGTGCAATTCCGATAAGTGTGACACATTAAAAGACGATGTACCAAGCTTTTGCTAGTATTTGAAAAACCTTTAGCAATCGTACAAACAAGAGCGCGTCGAGAGAATACTTGAGTTAACGCCTCAAATGAATGCGAAGCGACTTCCCGAGTCAGAGAAATCCAAACTGCCTCCAGGTGCGATATGGACCAACTCCTCGTTGACTCGCGGGGAGGGAGGTGAGTTGAGCTGGCTGTATGACCCAGATCTTTCTGATGAAGCTGAGAAGTGGGTTCGGGAGATAGAACGGCTGGCAGATGCAAGGAGGGTTGTCTGATCTAACCGTACGTGCTCTGTACACCGTAGACCATATCAGCTGCTAAGCAGGTTACGTTTGCTGTACGCATCAGTACAGGGCCTGTCATCTACCGGCCTACACCATTTCCTCTACGCCTTCGCTATCATCAATGCACAGCTATTAAGTAGTGAGCACTGCAGGATTCTTCCGAATCTGCGTAGTTGTTCGCTACGGTAGAAAAAAGGCACAATACATCATTAATTACTCCGAAGTTCATATGTATTAAGAGATCCCACAACATGGTCCTGGGTTGAGAAGAATCTCCCCCCCACCATCGATTTGAGCAGCGGCTCATCATCGACCTAATAAGAACGCTCTCCGACCGCGGATCATTACACAAAACACCCCTTTGCCATTTGATACGTGTTCTCGTCGTTAACCGAGATTTCAGGAGAGTTGCCTAGCCCGCAGTTGCATCAGCAAATGGGTTGACAGTCTATGTGCACGCAGCCAAGTACCTGTGAGGGCTAGAGTAGAACTATGTACTCGTCCGAGATGGCCGAGAGAAGATTCTTGCGGTCTCGAGGTTGGGGGTGGTCGCTACGGTAGTTGTCAGAAATAAGCGAGCTAGTCAATTGAGGGTGTGTTGTGTTGTACTGTTCTTAGCCCTGGCGAGTGTGCCCAGGATGGTGACGCGCACTAAGGGCGAAGACTGCGGTATATAGATGTGATGTCATTGCGCAAGATGTGCCCTCTTGTGTTTCATCTGGTAGACTAGAGTCACTGTTCGCACCCGTACATCATCCAACAAAAGATCGTGGGTGTGTTTTGAAGTGCTGTGCCATTCCGGTCTAAGTAGCGTCTGCCTGATTATCTTGAGTACTTGCAGTATTTCCAATAACTCCTTATTCACAATGTGCATATGCAATGCCTGCTGAGCTTTACGATCGACTTGGAAGTCCCCAGGCAGGAGTGAGAGGTCGCCCAACCCCGATCCTGCAGATGGGCACCCAGCAAGCACAGAAGGCACACACTGCTCATACAAGGCGATCATCTGCGTGAGACAAATGAGAATGAGTACAAGAATGACTGGGAACGTCAATGCGTTCGCTGATTGCAAGGACTGTAGAGTTTCTCTGATCCGCGGGAGCAGCTGAGAGCTTTGATGCAGCGTCTCATCAAGAGGAATTGGGGACCTTTGCACTGCGTGAGAGAGAGCCTCAAGCTGCGTAGACCAGTACCGAATACCATGGACTGGCGAGTCTGGCGCGTCCGATGTTGTCTTGAGCTCTGAATCCGAGTCGTGGGACCTCTGCGACGTCGAAGATGATGCTATACTCAAACCCTGCATGCTCTGGAGTGGGGCCTGCGGTTTATGCCTTTGAGATTGAACCTGCGTTACTGACGGTATCGTCAAAAGACCAGATGTTGGAGGGACGGTGGTCTGCGGGAACGTCAGATCAAGGGAACTCTCTCTGAGCTCTAAATCTCCATCGCCTATGTCCGAAATGTCAATGTCGTCAAACGCCGAGAGGAATGGATCGAAGCCTAGATTGTCCAGATCACCGCCGGTGGGTTCAAGTACAGACTTGACGTGGTGCTGATTATTCTGCGGTTCTTGTTGGCGAAGCTGTTGCTGTGGATGCCCGCCCAACCTATCCCAAAGACTCGTTGGGTCATCCATCTGAGCTTCTGCACTCTCCATTCCCCCTAACAGGGCTGGCACAGATACCTGCTGATCGCTTGGAAGCTCGTTGCCGTCGATGCTGTCGAGAAGGCTGGCGGAGTCCTAATCGTGCGATTGCCGTTGTTGCCGATGACCGCCTGCGGCAGCGGAGAGGTCTGGGACCTTGTGGAAGGTCGACCTCCGCCGCTTGTTGACCCCACGCGGAGGAGTACGGCCCATGTTGGATTCACTATAATGGCATGACTTGCGGCCACGCTCACAGCGCTGGCACCCTGTTAGCTCGCCGGCGCACCGAACCTGTATGTTTCAGATCAGCGGCTGTCATGAGAGTGCCACAGTCTTCTAAATTATGAGTCTGTCTTACCTTGGAGAGGTGGCAGTTGTCACATGCAATGCGCTTCTTTCGACCGTTTGAGATCGATGCGTTTGCCACTGGGCTCGCGGTCTGACTTCCCATTGCTGCCAGCATTGCTAGAAGTCCTAGTCCGAAGTGACCTAAGAGACGCAGAGCTGACCAGTGCGGTGTCTAGAAATCCGGGTGCCCTAGTATCTAGGTAGGTAGCCGGCAGTCTATCACATGCTGGCCCGACCGTATCATTTCAGTACGAAATCATGGAAAGGGCGGTAACATGATATACGCCCTGAAGGCAGGCTAAGCTGCTAGTAGGTAGCACGTTGGTAGAGCTGAGAGCTGAGAGCTGAGAGCTGCCTGCATATGAAAATGATGGTCGCTATCAAATCGAATGGACATCCATGGAGATCCGACCCACTCACCAACCAACATACAATCGTGAATCATTTGTTGGAAGTTGTTGCATATCTGCTTTCAAGGATATGGCAAGGCTGTGATAAAGGTCTCTTGCAGGTTCGCATTGCGAAATACAACCGCGGTTGCACGTGTTGGATTGGTATATATGTTGTACGAGTCCAGGGAAACCTTTCTTATCCGCAATGTGGGTTTCAATTATGTCGGTGGTACCTAGAAGGACTGGGCTTTAATGTTCGATTCTCACCCGTGCTCACGGCATTCTAGTCGCACTAACTGTGCTCTATTGAATTTGTGAATTTTATTTTCGGCGGAAAAATCACAACCAGGGGCGGTGGCGCAGCTGGGAGCGCGTCAGACTGAAGCTACAACTTCAGCCAATTATCTGAAGGTCATCGGTTCAAGCCCGGTCCACCCCAAGCTCAAAACTTCCTGTTTTCTTTTTGCCTTTTTGTGCTATGCTACATGAGAAGCGGGATGCAGCGCCTATGCTAGCTATACCACGCAACCATAGACGTCAGATTAAAGGTAGAAGTTGTAACTACACCTTTTAAAGGCTCTCGGATGGTCATATCGAACGCAGTCTAATGCCCCAGAGGGTGTGATAGCGTTGTCGATGGGTCGCCGAAGAGTATTGGATCGTCTCTCATCTCGCATGGTCTTAACGAGCTCAATATCGTTACCGTTTCATAGTCATTTATCACTTCATATGAGTGAATCTACCTGCATCTCAATCATCTTGAACTCTTGTTGGTCAAATAAGTGAGTAGTCAGTGTCAGTCAAGTCGTACGTGGATAACTCCTGGTCGGCTCCCGTACGCTAGTCCGATAATCTCCGGATATCTGGTACTTAACGCAATTAACTCCATAGCGCAGTATGAGTGCCATGATGTATATCTAGGCAGTGTCTTCTAGCTCGGTAGAGAAGAGTGGAAGGAAGAAAGGGAAATAAAAATAACCTACTTGTTCCTGGCATAGCGCTACTTACACTTCTAGATGTAACGATAGAATGTTCATAATCGTAGGACAATATATATTACGGCAATGGCTGGTCTCCCTCTCCATCGAGCTTGCACTGGATCTCGAGGTTGCATTATTATTTGTAGTGTTGTATTTGAAGAACAGGGGTCTCGGTTCGGCGTGGGAGGTCGTCTAATGTGGACCGTCGATCTATATCTAACGGATTCTCTTCTGATTAAAATTACATCTATATGTTAACGCCGTTTTTGTGTAGGGGAAGTGGCCTTCTCCCAAGTCTCTTCAACGATCAGCCAATAACGCTGGCCATCCGTCCGCATATGTGCGACATGTGGACTATTCTCGAATGCTTCTTTCCTCACGTCAAAGCCTTTCGACGTAGCTCTACTGGCGTGTTTCTCGATATGGCGCCAGTATACCATAGTATCGGCCTTCCCGTAAATGTAGGTTCTGTTTGTTTGTTTCACTAGGTTGGGATCATTCAAGATCCTCGCGTTTTTCGAGAGGAAATCCTCCCCGGCAATAAAGCCAAGAGGGATATGCCAGATCCAGGAAGTGAGAATCATCAATATGATGAGAGGGGCAACGAGAAAGCGAATAAGACCGCGTGGGAACCCTGCTATGAGGGCGTTATAGGAGGTGGAAAAGGCGTGCATTCCAGGACAGGAATCGAACACGGTGGAGTGTAGGGGGAACGGCTGGCCGAACAGTCGTTCATAATTAACATATACGTTCTGCATCGAAGTGCAACCACCGTTTGAGAAGACGTGGGCCAAGATCTCGGGCTGTTCGGAAGTTGCGGATAAGTCGCCGGCGTTTATCATAGACCGCACGTACCACACGGCCGGTTGCACTGCACTGCTTGCAACAGGCGCAAGCATGGCTTCTCTCATGACGAACTTGAGGAGGAGAATAGTGGCGTGTGGATATGTGGACTGATAATGGGTGATGTACTTGGCGATGTGCACATCTCGCGCGTCCATCCAAGCTGCCAAGAAGATGAGCTTCGGACTCGACGCGGCGGCAGATGCCGGGCGAGTCTCACTGGGCTCGTAGGTGAAAACATAGGGTGACAGTTTCGTCATTATATGTAGCGACGTAGAGTTGGACGCCATCTTGCCCTGCTCGACTTTGAATCCTTAAGCGAAGTCGATGTTGGAACCCCTTTCTGATATTTTAGACCAAACTATTAAGTAAGGCAGCCTTAACCCATCTAAGCTAGGTAAATTAAGTAACCTAGGTCTGTAGAATCAGTTCAGGAATGTTGACCGAGACTCTCTAAAGATGTCAACGCATTGTTGACGATATCCTGTAAGTTTCAACTAGGCACTTCAGAAGACGTCTGCTTAGTAGGGGCTTTTTCGATGTTCAACTTGCGCCTGAATGCCAGGTTGTTATTAGTAATTTCATGATAACCTAGGTACCTCGGCTTACACGCGTACTGATACCGCAAGGGTGTTTTAAGGTACCTGGGTACCTAGGTAGAGTGGGCATTTAGCTAACGCACGTACTATAGCCCGCTCAATTGAATAGCACCCTGAGCAATGTGCCCTGAGTTGAGGGTGGTAGGTGCAATATGGTAGGTACTTAATAGCTGTGACGAAAGGTGCAAGGTAGTATACTCAGTTTACAGTTTATGAGTGGCAGTTCCGAACAGGTCATTCTACCACCCAACTTCAAAATACATGTTCTTCCCCCGCCTCCAATTCTGGTAGATAGTGGGCCTGAGTTCATATCTTCTCAATATGGAAGGATCATATATTCCAAGATACCGAGGCTATACCTTCTAAATGAACTGGACGAGTACTGTGGCTTGATGAAGTGGCTTGTGCCATAGTGGCTTAGTCGAACGGGGCCCAGATGGGTAGGTAGGTACCTTCTTAAGGGAATTAAATGCGACAGCCAGTTCATATCCGAATACCTCCAACCTCCTAAGCTGATCACTCGGTGTTCCTTCCTGTGCGGTTTGGACTATTCAGTACTATGGGACTATTAGATATCAGAGATGTTGTTGAGCCGGTTCAAGATCAGTCTATCAGAAACAGAGTAACCGGTACCTTAAGTAACTATAGGGGTCGGGTGTAACCGCTACTGTAATGCTAGTTCGTCGATTGGCGCTCTTACTTAGTACTCTCATAGTCTCGTGATAGATGTGAAAGACGAGGATATTGAATACTCACTTAAAAAAGAAACAAAAGATCTTGGCTAGTCGGCGTATGGATTGACGACTTGATTTATGACGTCACCTTGATATGCAAACTGAAAGACTTGCATACTCAAACTTATCTATCACCCACCCTTGTTCAACTACGACATATTAGCAATGAGTTTCATGATCTATTTTGATACGGAATGAATAAAATATGCCAACGTACTCCGTATAACGGGCAGACGAGGATCATCCTTACTTCTTCCATTTCACCGCACCACCCTTCGGCTTCTTCTCCCGTGATTACACTAACCTAACAAGTAAGGGCGATACGTACACTAGCGTGAATTCTGTAACCACGTCACGCGGGCTAAATAAATAAGCAACGTAGTACCTTACCGAGTAGGTACGTGCTCACCGCTAAGTAGAAATACTCTTATCTATCAGTTTATACGGAGTAAGAGCAATAGGAATGCTCACACAGGAGGGAGGTCAGCTAAGTAGGTAGCACCCAACACCAAACCGGTATAACAGTCTACAAGGGTTGCCCAGACACCCTATCCCAGTGTTTGGTTGGGTATTTGCCGATATCACATAATCATGGCTTTCGACCAGTTGATAAACTATTCTAGGTTAAGATTCTTGACCTATCCTCTAAGCAAACCCGTACCTTGCTGCGAGCTAATATAAATCCCATTCCGCATCCCCGAGCATCTATCTCATCTCTGCGAGTAATGCTCCGCATTCCCCAAAACTTTAGTGTATGCACAACAGCTACCCACGAAGGTTGCAAGTTCACGCTCTTCCCCATTCTAGCAACCTAAGGACGTGAGTGGACAGTGTGCCGTGCGAATACGAGAGATCAGATCGACCAAGTTTCGTGATTATTGGTTGTTGACAACAAAGCTGTGATAACCGGACTCCGTCTCACGGCGTTGGAGACGAGGGCTGCGATCCTGAATATCGCGCACATTGCCAGCGATATCTCCAAAATCTGAGACCAGAACCATCTGAACACACCGCCTCGTCGAAGCGAAAGGGACAACGACAGTCTAACTATTGTGCTGGAATCGATTGAAGAAGATGCAGGGTGTTCCAGCTGGTGGTTGCTGGTACCAGAGCGGCCAAGCCTGGAGCTTCTCAAAGGTATGCAGTAATTGATGCTTCCCCAACCCTTCGCGGTATCTGCATCCATTTATCTCAGAGTCCTCACTCCTCCCCATCTACAATATCCAATATCCCGAAATATAGTGGAGCTCTTAGAGCTGCGCAGTCGTGGCATTAAGCCGTGGCATCAGAGAGTGGCCCCAGTCCAGTGCACTAGAGTTGAGGGTCAAGTGATCGGACTAACTTTGTAATGCTCGTCCAGCGGTGAAGCGCGGGGCCTCCTCACGACGAGTGTTAAGTGACTAGGAAATGAGATAATGAGCGGTCGCCTCAGAGGGTATGAGTCCGCCTACCCATTCAATTGCTCACATGAGCGGTGCTTTCTTACCCCCTTTCCGCTTTCCTCAGTCATCAGTGAACCATTGACCCATTAACCCGGGTCCATCGCCGTTCCTGGAGTCTAGACTCCGCGCGCCTGACCGCCCCAAATGGCTCGACTAGCCTCAGCTTCTTGCACTCCCACAAAATAAGGCTTCAGCTCGCTGTCTTCAGTCAATTCTTCGTTCTTGGAAACCACTAGTCCATGCTTCGCCAGGCTCAACGCCACTGCGAATCGATTAATTGACAAGAATGTCAATATGTTGTCCTAGTCCAGCCGGCCAACTCCCTTTTGGGATCGGTCTTTGTGGTTGGATCAACATTAGACTGCCAATCTTGCAGCCCTTCCTGTGTCTGCAATGGGCTGGATCTCAGTTACTCTGAGATCTAGAATATGTTCCCTTGAAAATTGGAGAATACTAAGGTAACCATTGTGTCGCCTTTGAACTTATGCAACTACCCTGGAGGGCTAAGTTATGATTAGCGTCCGGTACCTAGGGTATGTCGGCCAGACCCAGCTGGTTTACACTAGCGCTAAGCTACCTGCTGTAAGCTTGATGTTCGATGCTCTCGCGGTTTCCCCAAAGCAGGAGTTCAGGGCACGCTACAGCAGGTACCCACACACACTTAGAGCACTTAGAGGTAGCTCAGCGTTCCGTTCCCGCGAATCCAGCAACCCGGGTTTTCATCGCTGGTGCAACCTTCGGCCTTAGCTTCTGCTCCCTACCCGCTAAGCAGCGCATGACAGAAGCTCCCCCCCGGGTGGTGACGGAATCCCTCGCATTAAGTTTTCCCATCTTCCGAACC